AGACATTCTTGTCCCTTATCTCTCTACTATCTGTGCAGCTTTGAGCATGTTACATATATCTCCAAGTCTCAGCTTCCTCAAAAGTATAAAAATAATTATATGACTTGCTCACAGAAAGGAAAAACAAATGGAAAGGCATTCATTTGACACACCAATAAATGTTAATCCTGCATTTCTTTCCCTCTTAACGAAAACATAGCCTTTCCCTATGCCAGCCTGTCAACAATTTCCTAACCGATTCAAAACATGTTACTCCTATTACAATATAGCATATGGCTGTCAAAATGTATATATTTTATCTAAACACATGGGTTATATATGAATGCAATTAATTTTCAATTGTTAAAGTTTAGATAAAACATATACCTATATTATTCTAAGCAAACAAAAGTAATGAGTTTGATGCAATTTTACAAAATGTATTTATGCAAATAAAATCTCTAGTTTTTCTTCAGTATGAGGGTTCATAGTGATGTGTCCCATTACATCCTTCAGAAAAGCAGGAAGAGTTCCCATGTTTAATTCTACATATAGAATTATATATAATTCTCCACTATAATTCTCTTCTCCATTTAGATGTATACATGGCCCAAGAAATAAATCTTGCGGTCTTAACTACTAGGGGGATGAGGAGTCTCCAAGGACAGTCTGTAAGACATTTATCTTAAACACTAATTGATGTTCTCCCACTGCCCTCTCTGTGGCTAGGAATGGATAGAAAAAAGAAATAGACACATCTATACTTTTCAGAAATCAGTCCCAGAAAAAAAACAAGATAATGCAAAACAAGCAAAAATCTTTAAATTTATGGGAGAATTAGAAAACCACAGTCAATTTTCTACAGTGTGTAACTTTGCTAGTTAGCATGTCTAACAAACAACCAAAATTCCTCAATATTTTCTTGAAAATCTAAAAGCTATGAGAATAAGCAAAACTATTAAAATTGTGTTCCATAGGTTAAAATTTAATAATAAAAAGAAGAGTAATGACAAGAATTATATTTCTATAACACTTGCTGAATGTGTAATAAGCTTTCAGTACATCAGAAATCACTTAATACTTAAACTTTATTTAAAAGTTATTGTTCTCAAAATCATGATAGAGTAAAACTAGTTGTTTATGTTGTCACTAATTGAAATTTTACATTGCCACTGTCAATTATGGAAGCAATATTTATTAAAAAATAAAATGAATTATGAAAATGGGATTTGAAACATCGGTGCAAGTTACTAGAAGTAGCAAACAAAAATGAAATCATAAGAAAATAATAACAATAACTTCAGATCAGTGAGGAAATTTTTAAAATTACTTTTTAATTATATTTTTGGAGTTCCATAAACAGAGAATAAAATTCATCTTTAGCCCAGTTTTTTATACACAAAATAGAATTTTCTCAATGGCAATGTGATAAAAGAAGTGAAGAAATAACTATTTGTTTAAAGGTGCAGCTAGTCACCATTTAAAAATAAAGTTTTCTAACATTAGGGAGGAGAGTAAATTGAACTGTAATCAAATATTTTCTTCAGTTTTGTTTTTATCATGCAAACAATTGTAAGTAACCACTTCATTTCTCTTCTCCCAATGAAGAGTTTGATGTGATTTGATGTACTGTATAATTAGTTTCTTACAATACCAGTAAACAGTAAACAAAGCATGACCACATTTTTCCTCAAATGGAATGCTTTCAAGAATGTAACAGACATAAAGTTTTTCCACACGCTTCTTAATAGCTGCTTTAAAAAATGCCTATGTTACTTAAAAACTCACATAGTGTATGATTCTTTTAACTAGGAAAATACAATATTTTTGGTATATCAAATGCATGTGCATTATTTTGCTGTTCCATTATTTTTTATATTCTAAAGGCATCATTTGTTTGCATAGTCACTCTTTTAACAGCTAGCCTTTCATAAAAATTAGAGAAAATAAACCAACTATCTTTTTTAAGAAGGCAATGTATCTTTTACAGTAGAGAATCTAAATGTTTGCCTTTACAAATATGTTTGAAACTTTTCCCCTTTATGTATAACATGAAGCAGTGTGGCTGCTTCATGCATGCCAAGAAAAAACTCAGTGTGCTACTTTCTTGCTTATAATTTAAGGATAAATATAAAATATAACTAAATACTCATTTAATGATGGAAATTTCTTCATTTAAAAATTCTTGACAGACCATATGCTCAAGACAGAACCATTAAGGTTTTTTTTTCTCTACGATGTTCAAACTGGAACAGAAACTGTAAAATTAATTTAGTAGTCCAGGATTTTTTTTAATGTCCAAATTTTAACATTCCATAGAAAAGTTATAGGAAGTTTAACAGGTCATTTTAATTTTGGAACAATTTCCTTGTTTAAATTCAAATAATAAAATACAGGAGGTCAGTTACCAGTCAAATAGCCAGCATAATTATGTTAACGTGTCTTCTTTTCCTTAATCCCTACCTTCACCTCCCAAACCCTCTCTTCCTGCAAAATCTACAACAAAAAGTTTTCTCAGTAAGCAGTTGAAAGTAATTGGCATAATTAACTTGATCAGAATGTGGGAAAATTGCTTGCTGAATGAAAATAACTATATTATTTTTCCATGAGAAACCAGTAGGCGGTGCTAACTCAAGGATACTACATTCTAAGATTTTAAGCCAAAACACACAAGAACAGTGACTAGTTTAAAGAGTTATAGACAGGATTCACAGAGGAGGAAATTTCAAAATTTGAATGTAATAGAAATTTAACACAAGTACATAATATAATGAACAATGGATATTAAATAAATGAAAACCTAAGATGACTTAAGGATTCTTACCATGGTCTTTACTTATGGGATTCAAAGCACAAGTACATATTTATTCCCAAATTAAAATCCTATGAACATCTTCTTCTGCCCACTTATATTTTCAATTTCACTTGGAAACATCACACACTACAGCTCAAGTTTTACCCCAATATTAAAACACCCCTCCACCTTAGGACAGCAACTGGCCTCTTAATGAAAATTCTGGTTTGATACTCAAGTATTTTCTTTCTCATTCACTCTGTATCTTTCTTTTAAAAGAAATAATTGACTTACAGTTCATACAACGTGCAAAGAAGTATTATACACGTGTGTTAGCTTTCATTTTTAAGTAAATGAGCACTTTTATTAAATACATTATGATTAAAATGATAAAAACAAGAATTGTTGCAAGTGGCTTTTTACATGTTTTTGTTAGTGGTTTAACCATATAAAAGACTACAGTTTAGTAACGGGTTCACTACACGCACACACAAATCAAAATGTAAAGCTTAATAACATAATATTTCTGTCAATACTTAGAACTATGCCCGTCACCATATCAAGGGTGATAGTCCACAGACAGGACATAAACTATATTCCTTACATAAATGCAACAGGGCTTTCTAAAAAAAAGAGCTACCCTGAGTACAAAAATAACTCACAGTGCAACTTCCAAAGACGTTTGAAGTAACACTGCATTATGACTAAATATATAAACATATAGCCTTCTAGATATTACAGTACATTTTAATCTTCTACAGATAACCATTTGCACCCCTAACTCTCCCACCACAAAGAAAGAAATGTGCACATGAAACTTTTCATTCCACAATATGAGGTTACAGGCTTCGAGAAATATTTGCTTGAAAAGGCCATAGTGTATGTTATTAACCCGTTTGTTATAAGCCCTTTTGCTTGTTGGAATTAGTTTTTATGTCCATAGACAACCTAGGAAAAAACTGAATCTGAGAACTAAAAAGTAATTTCATTTGCTTTATATTTACTTTAACTGAATCCAAGTTAAATACACATAACAAATTTAGTGAACTCATTTAGGGACAAAAAAAAGAGGAAGAAAATCAAAGCTTCAAAAAGCACATCATTTCAATAATAGTTACTCTCCAGATCTTCAGATTGTGTGACGTGAAATTTATTTGGACAGCAAGTTTTTCAGCAGATTCTGTCACTGTGTTAGGTACAGAAAAGGCTTTTTATTACCAACTGGTACATCCAAAAAAATGTAGTACTAGATTATACTGGAAACGTGTAACAGGACGATCATAAATTATCATAAACTCCATGGAGTACATTCAACACTGAGTACTGTAATGCTTCCAACGCACCGGAAATCAAGCACATCATATCCAACCCCTACCCGCCCTGTACCCAGTTCTCAGATGAAAACCTTTGGAGCCACTATCAGGTGGTTGAAAAGAGGGAAAACACTGTCCCTTTAAAACTCAATAAAAGGCCGTTCTGTACTTTAGGGGTGTAATCTCATTAATTCAAACAGTTTCGACCTCAACGTAAAACCCAACTGACCATCATACCAAGTAACTACTTCCCCATCTGAAAGACGCCAGCAAGCGCTTAAAACCAAAGCGACACAAAAGCGTAAGAAACGATCCAAAGACAGCACCACTAAGAAAACAAAACCCGTCGGAACAAGCAAACAGGCTGGGAAAGACCTACTGCGTTGCTTACTCAAGGCAAAGAGGAGGAGCAGGAGCGGAGCGTGCGGGGGCTGGTGCCATCCTCGGGGACCTGGAAATGTCACGAGCTCCCGGCCCGTCTGGCCCGGAGCCAGGCCCTGGGGAAGATGCCACTTCTCCCCCAGTCTCCCAGGCGCTCTGAGGGGCCGCCCTCGCCGGCCGGCGCCGCCTCCTGGGCCCTCGCACCTCCTGCTCAGCAAGTGGCCCTCGGAGAACTTACAGGGCCCGCGGGCTACCGCGTCCCCGGCCGGCGCCTCCCGAGGCGCAGACACCGCCCGCCGCGGAGACGACCTGGGCGCAGCCGAGGGATTGACTATTTTGCGCACATCCAGAAACGATCCTGAGGCAGGCAACGGACTTTGGCTCTCCCTAGCTCCCGGCACGGCTTTCCCCGCCGCGGGCTCGGACACTGCCCGGAGACGTGCGCGCGCACACACATACACACACGAGATTTCTTGGCCAGGACCAGTGTTGCCATTGCAAACCCGGGAAACGCCTCCAAGGGGACCAAGTACCTGCTCTCTGCGAGCTGCTCAGCTGTTCACTTCATCCTCCGTTGACAAGGAAACCAAACCGCACTTCATTTTTTTTTTTTCCAGAAAAACCTTCCACTGCCATCATTTGAAAATTGATTTACGGGGAGGGGAGGAGAAGGAAGAAGGGATAATATAGATATCAGGATATCTATCATAAAATTATCTGTTTTTTTTAAAAAAAGTCAAATGTGCAAAAGTCATAGTTAATTTAAAGGAGGAAAAAAGTGTTTTGCTTAAAAATAATCCCAGTAACCAGCTGCAAGAAAAGTTTCATGTTATCAATGGGTACCAAAAACAGGAAAAAAACGAATTTGTTCTCACCGGCTTCCAAAAAGGGCACCAAAAAATAGAAAATTAATGTCTTTGCTCAGTGGTTTGTACCAGTATTACAAAACCACAAACTTGTAAACACTGCCGTAAAATCCCACCTATACAAAAATCTTATCAGAAAAAGAGTACGCAAAAAAAGAGTTAGAAACATGCTTTTTATTTTTACAAAGGAAAAAAATAGGCACCATACTTCACATCGCTTTTTCATAAAACCAGTTGCATATTTTGCTGGACTTGGGTGTCGCTCCCAGCGGGCACGGTTGCCGCGGACTCCCAGACACAGCGCCTTGTCTACAGAACCACAGCATGCTAGAAAAACTTGGATTCAGGAAAAGGCTCAAAATCATGCTCTCCAGCTTTCCCAAATATAAACAATAATCAAAGAGGTGAAAAAAAAAAGAAGAAAAACAAAAACAAAAAACAAAAAAAAAAGGACAAAAAGAAGAATAGGACAAGAATGCCACTGAGAAGGTACTCACCGAGCGGGAGTAAAATGTTGAAATAAAAATGAGATTTAGTATAAAATACAGTATGGCGGTGGAAGAAGGAATGAAGCGCGTTTTTTTCCCAGTCTCAGCCTCAGGCACTGACACGTGACTCGAAGCCAGGCTGACTCGCAGGCAGCGAGGAAGGACCGAGGCTGTGAGGGGGGGAGCCCCACGGCGCCCAGCTCCGGTGGCGAGGCGGCGGCGGCGACAGGGAGCACGGCGCCTGCGAGCGGCAGCACCGGCGGCGGCGGCAGCTCCGGGCGACGCTGCCTGCGCTGTGAGCCCGGACGAGCAGGTGCCCCTCACGCTGAGGCTGAGCACACGCACACGCACACGCAAGACAGGCAGGCGCCGGCGAAAGGGGGAGCCGAGCGGGGCTGGGCCGCTGCGGCCGCGCTTCCTGCTGCTGGTGCGGCCGCCGCCGCCGCCGCCGCGCGGCTCGGGGGCGCGGAGCAAACGCCTGAGAGGAGGCGAACAACTTGCCGCTCACCTCAAAGTTGCTGCTGCCTGCCACTTCCGTCTGTATTCATGGTTTTCTTCCCAAGGTAGTTACCTGGGGAGAGAGCCTGTCCCTTTCTCTCCCGAAGTTTCACTATTAAAGCCGCATTGGCCGTGCATTCTGCACCCCACCCCCGTTTTCGCTTTCCTCACCCCTCCCGAGCCGCCAGTGCCTCCGCTGTCCCTCCCCCGGGTCTGCGCTTCCCCCTCGCCGCGCCCGGGAACCTGGCCCAGCCAGGCCGGGGGCGTTGTCACGGGCGAGCCGCCGTCGGTCTGGATTGCCGTCAGAACGCAGAGCACTGCTTGTGCCATCCTCGGAGAGGGATGTTTGCAGTTGGAAAGACAAAACAAAAGCTCTCATTTTAGGAAACCCCGTCCCAGGTTTCTTTTTTTGGGCTGCCGAGCCAGGGGTCGGGGCGTGGGTGTAGGTAATTTATGCGTTCGTGGAGCGGGCATTGTTTGTTTTGCGTGTGCGCGCGTGCTTCCAAGCTCGTTTGGAAGGCTCCGCGGGTCCACGCTCCGTGGCAGCGGCTCCTGCCTGACTCTTGCTCAAGTTGTGGTCTGGGGCTGGAAGTCAAAGGAGAAGTGCAGGGGAAACAAGTGAGTCCATTGTGTAAGTGCTCTCTGGGAGAGAGAGAGCACTCGGCGGTCGAGAGGGGGAGACGTGCACCCGGAGTGAGGAGGCGGCGCAGCCCGCGGGAGCCCAGGTGTCTGAGCCGTGAATGCTGAAGGTGAGGGTGAGAAAGGGATTTCTCCACCTAGCCTCTGGTTTAGGATGCCCATCGCCTGAACAAAGCTTCCACCAGCCAATCGCTGCATGCGTTGGGATTCTTCCATTGCTGCCTGTTCAAGAATCAGCTTTCTGGGCCCTGAAACACATCTATTTTTCTTCATTTTTGTGCTATACTATCATCAGGAGCAATTCCCTGTGCTGCTCTGAATCTGGGTTGTGTGGAATTAATTGGCATCTCTGTGTCTGAGCATGAGCAATTAACATAGTTAGGCAGTTCACAGATTGCTGGCGCTGATCTTTACCTCAGTGTGTCCAATGTTGACATTTAAGATACAATGCCTCCATCAAAGATGATCTAACCTGGTCAATTCTGAAAATTAAGTACACATCAATTATACAGAGCTTCAACAGCAAATACGTTTCTCAAAGGTTCAGGTCAGAATTCATTGACCAAATAAACTATTAATCGCCAATTTAAGTAGAAGATTTAAAATAACCATTCAAATGTTATTAAATATTTAATTTGGTGAGTTGCCAACTCTGCACCCACATATTATACATACTTTAGAGTGACGATTGCTGACTAGAAACACTGACTGAGAAAAATGAATGCATCAAAGTGGATTTGGTAACTTGGGGAAGTCGTCTTGAGTTCCACTGGGAAATCACAGGATTGTAAGCTGGATAATACAGATCAAATGCATTTTTCACTGTAAAACACCTTGGGCTTCTTTATTTTTATTAAATAAAATACTTTCAGATGTGGTATTTTCCTCCGAGTCCTGAATTTTGTCTAACCTTAAACCTTGGTTTGCTAAATTTCCCAAATTTTTCCTTCCATGTCAAAAAATATCAGATTCTAATCCTTTAATCAGAAAATATTATTTTAATGAATATTTTCCATCATCTATATCACAGCAGTGTTCAAATGTGAGAAACTGCACTTTAAAAATGAGTTTTGAATCTTTCACCCAGGCTGGGCAATGCCTGAGTTTTAAAGTTATTCAAGAACTTTGAAAAACAAGCTGTTTAGAATTATACTGCAGTAATGGCCGCTAGCCAATCACAGTGATTGTCAGGCTTTTATTATTCAGTAAAACGACTCCCCTTTATGTTAAATGCAGTACTGCTGAAGAAAAAGCAAGACATAAAAATCCACCCTGCACATTTCCCACTTACTTACATAACTACAGTGTGATACCCAAAATATTCCACTTACTTTATTTCCAATGTGCCATTCTCATCTTTTAGGTTGCATCACCACGTTAAAACCAAAAGTAAAGTCAGATCAAGGGAACTAGTATTTACTGAGCATGCCTCTCATTTAGTTCTTAAAAAACTGCTCTGTGACATTGACATTATTATACTCATTTTACAGAGTAGGAAAATAAAGCCAGAGAATTTAAGTAATTTGCCAAGGATTCCACTGTAAATACAGACCAGAGGTGGGATTGGACAAAATTTTATCTGTTTTTACAGCTAGAATGAAATACTTCCAAAAAAATACAAGAAAAATACTAAATATTTTCAAATACTTGACATTTCATTGACAAGTGCACAATATTCTAAATAAATCAAATAGATCTAAAATTCATGGAAATTGATTTGACTATATTATTCACCACAAATAACAATAGTGGTATACATATTTTCACTCAGTTTTTTGATTCCACAAAATAGAAGGATAAGGAAATAAACCTTAAAAAGTGGAGATGAAAGGGTTAGTTTTTTCTTTTGCAAAAATCTGTTCAAAGGATGTGGTCGTGTACCTCCTGGCCACATCCCTGGAAGTTAACTGAAGAAACATTTTAAAGCAAAATTGAAATTGTGAACTGCTCCTTTTGATATCCATTCTGAAGTAAGTCATATAAGCTTCCAAATTGAAAAGTATACTCAATCTAAGATTTTCATTTGAAAAATATTGAAGATATATGAATTATATAACCTTATATGTTCACAGATTTTGTATATGAATATATTCTTAGAGTTATTTGTTACAATATGGTTTCAATGCATATTTTTACACCCAATGCCCTCAAATCATTTTCTCTTGTTTTGCTTGATAATATCTTCACAACTTAGTGATTTTACCCTTTGATTAATTTTACTTTTGTCTTTCATTATATGCCCTAAACCTTCCAAAGAACATATTTCAGCTATGCTTCTCTTTCAAGTTTGGATGGATTCTTTTTCTTTTTCCACTATTTCTATTGGACAAACTACACATGTCAAAATTCAACACGTAATTTATACAAATTATCAAAACAAGTGATTAGAAAATATGAAATAAATAGTAATATAATAAATATGGCATGAGTAAAATAAGGAAGAAAAGTATCAAATTTCTGTATAATTTAATTTTTAATATCTCACTCTTCACATAATAAATTTTATGGAATCTTAAAAAATTCAGGTATTAGAATAAAATATGCATCAAAATTTCTTACAACTTCTGCATATTTGCATTTATTTTCATACAAAATTGATAAAATATGTATACTGCTAAAAATAAGTTTAAAACTAATATGTCTGCTAAGATATTTAAATGTGTTTATTTTACATTAAATAGATTGAGTGTAGTTCTATGATAAAGTGACCTCTGGCAAAAGTGACAGAGTGTATACGCAAGAAAGCCCTTGATGAATTTCCTGATAAGTATACTTTAGGCACAGAGAGGAAAAACAGCGGCATGTGACATGTTCAGTGTTCTGCACCATTTGTTACTATTCATTGATTACTGATCTGACAATCATCCATTTGAAAGAGGATATAAAATATGTCAGCTTATAAATTTAGAAGCCATGAATTTATCCAAGATATCTCTTTAGGTTTGAAGAAATAAAGATGAAAATGTGGTAACCCTAGAGCCAGAATTAGGCCTCTGAAAAAGTACTGAAGGTTAAAAATGTTAATTTTAAAACACTTTATTGTATATTAATATAAGCATGTAAGAAGCCTGAAAGGAACAAAAAAGAAAGGGCATTTATGCAAAACAAAACAAAATAGGAGTGAGAAACATAGAGGAAAAAATTATGTGCCATTTAATAACTACTTAACTGGATTTTATATGCTTGGCATATGTACTGTCATAAAATCCTCATAATCAAAAACCGAGATTCTAAAAGATTCTGCTCATGGACAGACGACTGAAAAATGGAACAATGAAGAGCTTTCATGTCTAGTGAGACAGTGAAAATCCATGTAAAAGAAAAGTAACTTTAATGACAAAGCACTGTCATCACAGTTAAAAATTTGAAAAAAAAAAAGTGGGCAGAGACGGGGAGAACATAGAAGAATAAAAGGGATGGGGAGGGAGATGAAAAAAAGGAAGAGGGGAAACAAGGACAGAAAAAAGGAGAGAGGAAGGGAAATTGTAAGACCAAGGGCACTGGGTGGGGCTCCTGGAAAATTTCCCAAAAAAACATGAGAAACGTAAGACAAGTGCAAATACTGCACAGATTCAGGTCAAATAGATGAGTCCTAAAAGATGTGTGGCAATAAGTACATTCAAAAAATACTGCAAACTTTATAATATGTTTTTTTAGTAAGTGTAAATGTTGCCTGAAAACTCCAGAAAACAATCTTACTGAGGTTAACAAAGCTCCATGCCAGAGGAAGCAACATTTTTAAAAAGAGAAAACTAGAAAGAGCTACCTTCATTTGTGTTTAGAAAACAAGGGATCTATTTATCCTAATAGCCCAGACTGGTAACAGAAGACAGTATAGTTTCACTGGAAAATAAATTTTGCCTAAGAAGAAGAATCTTGAAGATGTACGAGAGAAAAGTAACATTTTGTTGTATAGCCACATGATCTTAGACTCAGAGGTATGAAGTTGCTCTTTTGTATACAGTGATAGATCTGTATAGTTACAGTTATGATTCTCCAATAGATTTTTTTCACTTTATTTACTTGTTTTAATCTTAAAAACCTGGGGTTTAGAGATTATCTAGACTTTAAGTGTAAATATTAATTTAACCAAACTCTGGATATTTTTTCCTTTTAGGTAAGGGTTATTCATTTGTGATTTGTTTAGAGATTATAGTATTCAAGAGCATGCATGAGATTACTTTGTTATCATCAAGGGCTTTGTATTATCTTGGGCTTCCATCAATAAGAGTCACTTCTAATTTCCATGAAATTTAGTAAGTTATTTATTTCTATTAATATGAAACTTATATTCTGAAAACAAAATTTTTCTAGGAATGAAACTGAGTTTTCAAGTCAGGTAAATA